GTATACTAGGGAATCTTGTCCTAATACATGAATTGTATTACTCTTTCTTTCCCAGGCTAAATCTCACAAATATCTTCAGCCATCTTATTTAATTCCTTCACCATTTTAGTCCTGCCTCATTTTTATTTAATAGATTCATTTTGGTGGTTGCCAGGTATTAAAGTCTTGGTTTCAAATATGGTAAATTTGTGTTCTACCACTGAGATGTTTCCCAGGCTCTCAATTTTTGTTTTGGGGCCAGCATGTCCAGTGATATTTGGGGGAGCCAAGTGGTGCTTTTCTATTCCTAATAGAATCTGGGCCTCCAACGTGCAAAGCATTTGCCCCAGCCCTCTCACTGTCCCACTGAGCTCTCTCTCCAGTCCCGTCATTTAAAAAAAAATTATAAAGTATAGCCCCCCAAAATGCTTAGAACATTCCAGCATCATTGTCTCAGGAAAAGAACTGAAATGCCATCTCCCTTGTACAAACATTACTATGTGAATTAGCTGTCTCAGGTGATAGAAATTCCTTAATTCAGGACACTCTCAACCCCAGAGTTAAGACTATAAAGAAGGCAACTCTTTTCATAGTTAAGTTCTTGTCACAGAAATCACATCTGAAAGAAAAAAGAACACAAAACACACCTTTTCTTCACCGAAATTATTATCCAACTATAGTTTATGTGGAGTACATTTTGTCAAAAAGATATGTTTTTTTTAAAAAAAAAACTGAATTTGATTTCCTTAAGACACTGAGGCATTGTTGTAATTGCATGGAAATACATTTGTCAGGACCATGTTGAGGAATGTAAGTACCCAGTTGCAGTTTAAAAAAGAAGAAGTGATGTAGAAGAAATACAGAAAAAGAAATAGCAAGCTTAGAAGAGCTCTTCCACAGGCTAATAAGGCAGAGATCCCTAAAGTATTTATGACCATAAAATCAGAAAACAGGGTCCAGAAGTTAGCACAAGGGGCTGGAACACAAGTCCACATGTGCAGGCCCGAGCTGAGTCCCCAGCACCTCAGTGCTGTCTCCTTCCCTGCCATTAAGTCCAGCCCCCAGCACTGCTTGGACTGAGCACAGGAGTCAGTGAGTCAGCTGCACTGAGAATCACCAAGCATAGCCACAGGAGCCCTGAGCCATTATCAGGAGCCCCCCCCTCAAAAAATAAAAAAGAAACATGAGATGTCTGTCTAAAGTCATTCAGTTGGATAAGTGGGGAAAATTTTAAAAGATTTTCCTCTGATCAAAACACAGTATCTCATTTGCATGAACTGATTTCTAGTAAAAAATGTTCCACTTGAATAAGAAAACTAAAATCATCTGCAACTGTCATTTACTCAAAATCATTCATTCCCTGAATGTTGATGCTGGATCTTGAAGAATTATGGAATAGTTTAAAGAGGAAACGTGGCTAATCATCGATCAAACACTAGAAGAATTAGTTTCCCAAAGACATATATTCACAGATATAAGGAAAAATAATAATTCAGCCCAATAAACACTGCCTCTTTTCTCTACTATGTCTAAATTGATTAAAATAATCTTGATCCAAATATCTTTATTTTGGTGAATAGGTTTACCTTTCTTACCAAACCCTAAATCAGAACTTGACACATTGACAGGTCAATTCATCTGACTTTCATTTTTATTTCCTTGTTGTTTTATTCTAGAAGAGGGCATGGATTTACTAAAAGACAGAAAAAAGATGTTAGAAAAAGACAATGGCCTACTGTAGGTAATCCAGACAAAGGATAATTGGCCTTCTATAATATAAAACAAATGTAACTATAGTTCAACAGATCTAATAAAAGGATATAAAGGACTAAAAAGCCTTGCAGAGGGAAAGGAGAAAGAATAACATCCTTTGAGGAATAGAATCTAAGCCATACTAGAATATTCTGAATATCAGCTAACATAAAATCTCACAGATTTCTCCCATGACAGAGATGTGATGCATTTAAATTGTCACATACTTAATGTCTTTATTAAAATAATTTTAAAAATCACACCACAAATGGAAGATGACATGGGCTTTGATCGTCTTAGTAGTCTGGCTAAGTCCAACTGAATTGTGAACAAATTACTCTCTTTTTTATCCACTTACAAATCAGGTTTTGCTTTTAAGAACATGCATTTTAGTAAACATTAGCAGGACAATAAGAACTAGTGAATCAATACATTTGGGTTCTGCATTTCGTTTCGGTCCTAGATTTAGTCTTAGATGAAGATGAGCCTATTTAATGAGTGCTATTTGAAAAAGTCTGTGTCACTGGAAAAGTCCTTCTACTATCCCATTTATTTGACTAATAGCAGTACTGACAATACTCTCAGGATGGTTTTCAAACTTGAGATACCTCATGGAACAACAGTCCATCAACCCTAACCTGGAATTCATACAAGTAAGAAAAAGAAAACACTAAAGCACTACTTTTTCTTCTGCCCCTGCTGATGGACCCTGGAGAGATGGCCATCAGTTAGTTGACTGGGAAGAACAGTGGGTAAAAAGAAAACCAATAACAGAATTTACTAATTATCTCTACATGTGGTTATGGGTAAACAGGAAGCTGATCCTTTCAGAATGCAAGCATGGTCCTAGAAATTGTTATTTTTCTAATAAAATATGAGATTAATACCCAAGAATAGCTGAGAGCAACACCAGGAGAATTACTCCATAACTTAGAGGCCAGCTGGGTATTCTAGGGAAAAGGACAATTCAGATAGAAAGGGGAACACCAAGTGGAGGGTGTTTGGAGGATCCTCCCAGGAGGGGAGATGCAGGTTGAAAGTAGACTGGACTGAACATGTTCGCCACTCAATGCCTCTTTGGCTGATGACAGCGCCCAGGAGGAGAGAGAGAACAGGGGGGAATGCCCTGCCACAGTGGCAGGGGGGGATGGGGGGATGGGAGGATGGGGGGGAGGGATATTATCCTGGTGGTGGAAAATGGGCACTGGTGGAGGGATGGGTATTTGATCGTGGTATGACCGAGATCCAAGCACAAAAATTTGTAAATCTACAACTGTACCTCATGGTGTTTTACTAATAAAAAAGAAAAAAAAATAAAAAAAAAAAGAAATTGTTATTTTTCAACTAAATTCATACACTCCAACAAATGTTTTCCTCTAAGTTCGAAAACCAACTTTATTTACAGTATACTTGTTGACATGAGACAAAGTGGGACCATGATATATGCTGGAGACATTGACCCTTTCTCTGAAAGTTAATGAATCTGAATTTAGAAATATTTCCTCGAAGTTTGAAAGAGTTCTTCTGCCCCACTTAATTTAGTTCCAGAATACCTTTCATTTCTGTCTTGTGGAGGAATAGGGGAGTTAACCTCAACTACTGTTATAAATTATTATTTATTAGGATGATTTTTCTTTCCTGTAGAGATACATGCTAAAACAAAGGCAGTCCAAAGTTCAGAGAGAGATCTTTCTCTTACTTGCAGACTTGAGTCAAACATAGTAAAAGATCAACCAAAAATATCAGACCCTTAAACAATACCTCATAATTCCCATTGGCGGGAGGCTGGTCACTCTGAAAGCTGCTGGAGGAATGCTACAAATAGCTCTACATAACTCATTTCATGAAAATTCAGTAATTTTCAAATATCAACACAACAGGATTAAGACTGCTGCTATCCACTGTAACCATGGAATGATATGTCCTCATCCATTGCACATCTCTCAGTTACGCTAAGCAGCCAGCAACAGAAACTAATCGCACCAACAGCACACAGGTTTTACTATTTTCCAAATTGGCATCTATATCAGTACACAAATCAGAAGGTCTCAAGGTCTGAACTAAAGAAACAATAAAGCACATTCAGCAGCACGTCTCCCCTCTTGAGTCCTATTTTAAAATTGGCTACGTAAAGGCAGAAACATCTCCATTTGAACTGGAGATGTGTAGCAGTACATGCTTGTAAGGAAGGAAAGGAAATATGGAAGAGGAAGAAGGGAGGGAGAAAAGGAATGAAGAAGGGTAAGATAACTGGGGAGAAAAAGAAAAGAAATGACAAGTACAATCATGAGTCTGAGCGTGACATTACTACAAAACAGTGGCACAGGACCCCTCCACCTGATTCTACTAGCAGATTTTCAGCATAATCAAGATTAAGATCATCTTAGATCATCATCTAAGTTATCAAGATAAAAAATGGATTGTGAGACTTTTCATCTTTTACTATTCGCATTTATCGTTGTAGAAACATCAGCAGAAGCCTAAGTCTTGGTCTATCCAGGATGGATCATACCAGAAAGTATAAGACATGACCCAGGACTGTCGTCTGCTTTGAAGTTTGCACCCCCATTCTTCTCTCAATTCTTTTGCTCACATCTGATCTGTTTTTTCACACAACTCAATTTTTCAGGCTAAATTTTGGGGCAGATATCATCAGTCTTTTTTTTTTCAAACTTTTATTATATTAAAGGGCAGAAAATAAGAGCAACTAGAAGGAAATAATAGTGATTTAGAGGGAGCAATAAAGGAAAAGTATTCTCCTTCCCGGGGTAGGGATGTAGTTCAGCATCAGAGCACATGCTTTGCATGTATGCAGCCCTGGGTTCAATATCCAGCCCTGGAAAATAAAATCTTTTCTTTTCTGACAGGTATACCTTAGAAAGGTAGTAATGAGACTTTTAGAAAGTGTTGGTTCATGGATTTCCCTTATTATTTTTTAATTTCTAGAATATGCATTTAAGGACAATGTACTAAACGTTTGGTCTGTCAAAGAGCAGAATCACTAGCACCAGGAGTCATGGAGCTTGTATGTTGTTAGTAAAACAATTGTTGCTATTGGTCATGGGTAAAGGTCTCATTTTATTTTTCACATCGCAAAGGTCTCGAAAGTGCCTGTGGACAAGAGAAATAATACTTTTGAAAATCTCCATGGAGACATCAACACACACCACAGAGACAGTCCTTGGCCTTCCCAGTTATGGACAATCTGGTAGACCAGGAAACCAGGAACCCCAGAATCTGGTAGACCAGGAAACCAGGAACCCCACAGTCCCTGTCCCCCTGCACCAGCGTGAGGCGGGATCCCTACGGTACAGTTCCCCCAGACTTTCAAGGGGTGTGCCTTTATTAGCTGTCTTGAAAAAACAAAAGCAACATGCTCTGCAGGTCACAGAGTGCCGAGTGCAGCGTCCTCTTGGCGCCAACTCCAGACTGCAAAAGGATGAAACCGGCATTTGTTCTGCTAATGCTGGCCTGTGGACAAGCCCATGGGCCTTCCATGCTTTGTAAGCATACAGGAGCCAGGAGGTCTGAGAGCAGAAGCCACTGGGTCATCACTGGTGTTTCCAGCAAGTTGGGGTGCAGCAGGGAATCTCTTATTCCCTTCTCCTTCTTCTTGCCTGTCCCTAGTTGAAGTTACAACAAGTCAAATAGCTGATGCTTTTCCCTTCTCCGGGTGAGGGTGAGGAAACGTTGTTCACCAGAGTGTTCTGCCGGGCTTCACTGATGAGGCGACATGCCAAGTCAAGGAAGAGTCTCTCCACATTGTCAGATTCCTTGGCTGAGGTCTCCAAGTAGTACATGTCCTGAGCTTCTGAGAACTCTTCTGCTCGCTGCTGGGAGACCTCTCTCCTTTCCGCCAGATCAATCTTGTTGCCTAAGGGCAGATGAAATCAGAAAGGTGAACTGCTTTGGGATGCCTGATGCTCCCTCCCATGGAGCTATATTCTCTGCTATGTACAAGGGGAAATGAATGTGACATCCAGAGTGGTCTCTGCCCTGAGTGTCAAAACAATTTGTTGGCTTCCTGCTCAGGAACAGATGCCTGGATAAAGAAACGGGTTTAGAGACACAATACAGCACTAGTCAGCAGTAAGGAAAGATGAAATCACGAATTTACTGCTGCATGGATAGATCCGGAGAGGATAATGCTGAGTTAAGTCAGTTAGAAGGAGGAGACAGATACAGAACAGCCCCTCATGTCTGATGTAAAGAAACATAATAAGGGAAAAACAAATATCCAAAGTAACAGATCATCAGGGCTGTTCTCCAGAACTGAGTTTATCCTGGTTGGAGGGATGGAGCGTGGGGTGTGGACTGGGCAGTAGGGTCACTCTGGGGGAGGGGGGGTGCAACCATTTCATTTACAGAACCATGAATTACAGTGCCTAACATTTTAAAAACATTTTTTTATTAAAGAATGCTTGGTTGAGCTGCCTACAACAGCCCCCATGTCTCCCTGTCCTGCCACCCTCCCCACACCCTCATGAATGCTAGAGAATTGACCTCAGGCACATACTGAAAAGCATAAAAGTAACAAACAACCCACTAGTAAGGAGGAGGATTGTGGCATTTAAATGCAATTTCTCATTAAAAGGAAACTGTACTTCTTGGAGAGAGGCTAATTCTCTGTCTGGTGTAGGCAATGCCCAAGATGAGTCTGGAATACCTGACACAGAGAAAGCAAAAAGAACTCCAGGGTCCTGATGTCAAAGGACTCAGAAGCCAGCTTAAAGAGTATCTATCCCCTTGAGGCTGGAGCACAGTGGGTAGGGTGTTTGCCTTGCACGCGGCTGACTGGGGTTTGATTCCCAGCATCCCATATGTTCCCTTGAGCACTGGCAGGAGTAATTCCTGAGTGCAGAGCCAGGAATAACCCCTGTGCATCGCCGGATGTGACCCAAAAAGCACAAAAGAAAAAAAAAAAGAGCATCCCGTCCTTGGGCCATAGTGATAGTCCTGTAGGTAGGGCATTTGCCTTGCACACATCCAACCAGGGTTCAATCCCCAGAATATCATATCTCCTCTGAGCACCACCAGGTATAATTCCTGAGGGCAGAGCCAGAAGTAACGCCTGAGCACCTCTGGGTGTGACTCAAAAAACAAAACTAAAAGGGGGTTAAAAAGGTGTTCCTAAGGACTGGAGAGAGTTCAGTGCTTGCTTTGAATGTGGCCACCCAGGGCTTGATACCCAGCATCCCATATAGTCCCCTGCGTACCAGTGGGAGTAATTCCAGTGCAGAGCCAGGAGTAACACCTGAGTATTGATAGCAAGTGGTATGCTGTTTGGGTTTGAACCAAAAACTTATTTTTTAAAAAAGTGTCCCCTGCTGACACTGGAACTGTCGAAACATCAATAATAATTGCAGGGAAATAGACTTTATGAAATGTATTAAAATTATAAGTTTATACACGACATTCAAGCTACAAACTTTAAGTTTCTTTGGGAATTCCAGGGAACTGACACATTCCCTGGAAATGTGAGAAATAAAAAAGAAAAAAAACAAACTTCTTTTCTCTCCCATCCTATTAGAACTAAATAACAACTCCAAAATACTTCTGCTATAAAGAAAAACAAAAACAAACCAACCCAGTCAAATGAACAAAAACCAAACTAAACGTGTAGATCCACGTAGGAATGCAGGTGATAGAAGAATATGTCAAATGATGTGAGAGAGGTAAAGGAAGAAAATTTACACTTGAAAATTCTATAATACTTCAGTGTATTCAATTCTTCAATGATTAAATGCTTCAATTAATCTTAAGGAAGAGCTAAAAGAGGAACTAAAAGACATAAAAGTCAATTACAACATACGGAACTTATATGATTCTTTGTTTTGAGGTCAGCGGTGCTCAGGACTTACTCCTGGCTCTGTAAACAGGAGCCACTTCTGTGGTGCAACTTAGCTGAATCTTAATTTTCACAAACTCAAAATATAAGTCAATTCAAAAAATTTGAATCTAAATTTAATTGTTTCTATATTTTGGAGCCTCTTAAAGTGTTAATATTCTTTGGTGTGAAAATAATACGTGGTATGTCCTTAAAACAAACAAATAAACAACTTTGTACCAAAATACTGAAAGGTAAATTTATAGAACGGCTGGGATTTTTCTTTAAAATAATCTTAAGAAGAGGGAAGAGTGAATAGATAGGGAGAGACGAAGTAAGATTAGCCATGAGATGATAACTGTCTAAGTTGAAAGAAGCGAATATGGGACTTATTATACTGTTTTCTCTCTTGTGCTTATGTCTGAAACTTTCCACAGGAAAAAGTTCAAAAAAAGAACAGTGCTTAATTTATACAAAACACACTAATTATCATTCCTCAAATATTCATTTACCTCCCTTAGACAGAATCCCAATAGTGGTGCTTTGACTGAAGTTCTCAAGGGCATCCTGTTGGAAAAGAACTAAAGGTCAAGTCCAAACTGGGACTTCCAAGCACTTTCTGGGAAAGGTTCTGCAGTGGTGCAAAAGGACACAGATGGAGAGGCAGATACTTAACCATGTAGCCAGCAAAGCTACAGAACACTACATGACAGCAAGATATTATATACAGGGTCTGGAGTCTATCTTACATGACCTATATTTTTGGACAAAGACTCTTACCTCTCTGATGCTTGATTTTTTTCACCTGTAAAGTAGTAGTGATGACACTAAAAACTCTTAGTGTGTGATCTAGCATATGGCTAGCATATCTAGCAGATACTACCATAGTGTACTTACAGTGTAGTATCAGATATATGTACATTATTTGTGGATATATATTTACTGTAAAATGATAATGTTAACCATAATTGTACCTATATATGTACTTATATGTGTGTATACACACATATAATCTACTTACCTGTATGTGTATACACACATATGTATGTGTATGTATGTGTGTGTGTGTGTGTATATATATGTATATATATATGTATGTATGTATGTATAGTTACTGAGGTCCTCTACCAGATTTCACAATTCAGATTTTGCTTGTTTGTCTTATTTTGGGGCAATATCTAGCTATACTCAGGGTAGGGTTCTAGGGATCAAACCCAGGTCAACTGCATACATGCCAAATGCCTTACATGCTGAAGTATCTCTCTAGTTCCCCAAATTCAGATCTTGCTAGAATATAAAGCAATGTTGCTTGCTAGGGAGAAAGCTATACATAGGGGCCGGAGTGACAGTACAGCTGACAGGGCATCTCCAGCACTACATGTGGTTCCTTTAACACCACCAGGAATTATCCCTGAGTGCAGAGACAGGAGTAAGTCCTGAATACCACCAGGTGTGCCCCCCTCCCAAAACAAACAAACAAAATTATATATTATTAACATCTTTCCATCATCACCAGAGGAGTTTTTAATGAACTGGTTCATTTCAAGCAATTTCACTTTTTATGGGTTTCTATGCCACTGTAGAAAATCAGGATTATTCTCTTCTTTTCCCCCTATAAAAAATAGAGGTTTTGCCCTACTCTTAGATGAAACTGCGTATTGTTCCTTAAAGTATATTGTTCTAAAAACTAAAAATTCCTCGTCAATGGGCTGGAGCGATAGCACAGCAGGTAGGATGTTTGCCTTGCACGCAGCTGACCCAGGTTCGATTCCCGGCATCCCATATGGTCCCCTGAGCACCGCCAGGGATAATTCCTGAGTGCAGAGCCAGGAGTAACACCTGAGCATCGCCATGTGTGACCCAAAAATTAAAAAAAAAAATTCCTTGTCAACATATTAGAAAGGGAATAAATAAGTAAACTTCATTTTCAGACAATAGATCAGTACATCAATAATGATTCTTTACCAACTGAAGAAACAGTTTACTTCTAGATCAGCAGTTTCTATGATCTTATAATGAGATTTTGTGAAAGCTTAAGCCAATCACATAAATTTAACAACATACAGCTACTTACCTGGAGCCTTCACAGATAGAAAAAACAAAAAACAATATTTTTACTTTTCTAAACCATCCTATCAGATAGGTGTAACTTCATTTTCTTTTCAACTGCTGCAGTACCAAATACTACGACCCAAAACATAGGCTACGTCCTAAGGTACCAACGTACGAGATTTTATGCTACAACTTTTAATTTTTGGAGGGTGGGTGCCACAGACAGCTGTACTCCTGGCCATGGCTTGGTGACTACATGTGATGCTGGAGATTGAACACGGGTCAACCAGGTGGGAGGCAAGTGCCCTACTCACTGTGCTTCCTCTCCAGACCACTCAAACGTTTCTTACTGCCACAGAGTCTTCTCACGTGACAAGCACTCACTTACCCACTAGCACAGTGATGACCTTGTTGCTGGCATACTGTTCTATCTCCCGCAGCCACTCAGGAAGGCAACGAAAGGATTCCTCACAGGTTATATCATAGGTGAGGATCAGGGCATTGGCACTGCGGTAATAACTCTGGGTAATCGATCGAAATCGCTCTTGACCGGCGGTGTCCCAGATCTGAAGCTGTGAAGGGATGAGAGAAGGATCAGGCTGAAGAAGCAGAAAAGCAAGCGAGCATTGCCATCTGTCAGTTCCAAAATGGAAATACCCTGACCCAAAGCATTTCAAGATTACTTTCTGACATTAAAAAATAAATGGCACTTATTCAATTCCAAAAAATGCACTGCCTCAAGTGAGTCTGGTGGGAGAGAAGGGCTTGCTTTTACCCCGTGATTGTTAGATTATTTAAGAGTATCCCTAGAGGGCCAGGAATGTAGCTCAGCAGAAGAACACTTGTCTTGTATGTATTGAGGTCCTGCATTCAATCTCAGATATACCCTGCCACACACATACATTTCACTTTATTCTTTAAAAAAAAAAACTTATTGAACATTTATTTTATGCCAGGCTCTAAGATTTTTACCTGCAACGATTTAATCTCCAATAACTCCATGGGGGGCCATGGATACTATCAGCCTGGCATTATGAGGTGAGGAAGTGGACGTAAAAGAGAACATGTTTCAGAGTCAGTTCGATGGTACAGAGATACCAGGCTCCACATTCTTAACCCAAGGCATGCCGGGAAAAGTGGCCCCTGCAGAAAGGCGTTACTCTCTGGTCCCTGGCATATCATCAACAACTGGAGAAGAAGAAAATACAACCTCCTCACCTTCTGAAGTTTACAATTCAAATAACTGTATTAGGAGATCATCTTTGTTAATGAGACAGGAACAATGCATGGTGTCAAAAACATAAAAATTTCCTAGCACCACTTTGAAGCAATGTGATCTTGAGCAAAACCAAAAACTCTTTGGATTTCGGTGGTTTCTTTACAAACAAAGAAGTTAGTAATATGCAACCCTGCTGGAAGTCCCTATTTTCTGATCTTACCTTCTAACTGTAATATCTAATAACCAATAGTTAGAACAAAGGATACAAAATACATCTCAGTTTTGGCACACAGAATCTTGCTGAAAGAGACTGTCCCCCAGACAGAGCAGAGAGTGCACAGCACACTGCAACTGTAACATTCACAAGAATCATCTTCTCTTGTCAGTACCAAGACTTCTCATGGCCTAAAGCATTTCCTCTACTAACAGACCTCTACAAGGAAGACTGCCTAGAACCTTGAAATTAGGCTAATTCCCTTGTGTCCTAATTCACTTGCACCTCTCTTTTCATCACTAGACTGAAAGCTCCACGAACAGAGTAAATTTTCTTTGTATGTGAAATTCCAGCACCAAGGAGAGTGTGTGACAAAAAAACAAGCTTTCAGATGTTTATTTGTGGTCTCATGTAATCTTAACAGTTTACCCAATAAGACAAGGAAGTTTATACTTTCTTTTCACCAACAGGAAAACTTCATCTCTTAACTAGTTACTCACGAAACCGGGATTTTGCCTTCTCACTGCATGCCATCAGGCTGCCTTTTCCCTGAAACTAATTTTACATCTGTATCCAAGGAAGAGGAGTCTGTTGGTGTCACCCTTTACTCATACTAATTTAAAGAAGACAGATGAGTGACCAGTAGTCCCTGCCACCAATCACCCACACACAGGCTCTTTGATTTGAAGTAAAAGCTGTTCTGATGACAAACATGGAAATCTGTGTATGCTGAAGGCAACCATACAAATGTTATAGCTTTTTCAGGAAGACAAGGGGTTCTGTTCTCTGCCTCAAATCTAAGGTTATGGGTCCTTTCTGCCAAGACATAACTTAGAACAAGAGACTATTATTTTAAGGCACACTAAACCTTCAATTCTAAAAACACTTGTGATTGGATTTAATGCTATCAAATCATTGGAAATCAACCCCCCCCCCCATGACTGGAACATCTTGGGAAAGATTTGCACATGAAAACAACTGAAATATTTTCTAGAACTGTCACCAGAATATACACTAGTTTTTTTTTTTTTTAATAGGGGCTGTCTGCTTCTAGTCTTATTGTTGATTCTTAAGGATATTCCTATTCCATATCCTCTTCTTTCTCACTACTACTTTGCAATTCCTTTGCTCTTTTTCAGCATTTGTAGGTCATTCAGGCCTGCAAAGTCCTGTACTTGGCACAGGGAATACCCAACACTGAATAAAAACACAATTCCTGATCCGAGTTTACAGTATATAGGAAAGCAAAGCTGACGCTACGACAACAAAACATGAGATGTTCTAAGACAGAAGCACAGGCACACAAACTATCTCCTCATGCCAATCTCTTGACAGCCATACGTTGTCAATGATGCAGCCACAGACCCTTGAGCCTCTGGTCACCAGCAGGGTCTTCTTTGTTCTCTACTCCCCTTCGGCTCACCGCTCATACCTCTGCTATGTTGCTGTCACAACAGTGCACTGCAATCACTGGCTTGCTGGCATATTTCTTTGGGGTGGGTTTAGGGAATGGGGTAGGATCAGAAATACTCAGAAGCTGTTCCTGGTCCTGCACTCAGGAGCAGCCCCTCACAGTGCTCAGGGGACCATATGCAAAGCAAGTGCATTACCTTCCAGACTATCTCACTGGCTGAGTTTGTGTATTTCTGTGCTACACTGAGTTTTCTGAGGACCAGAGACTATCCCTTAATTGATCACATGCCCCAAGTGTTTTTCTAATATAATACGTTACAGCAGAGCCTGGCAAGCTACCCTTGGCGTATTTTGATATACCAAAAACAGTAACAATAATGGATCTCATTCCCCTGACCCTGAAAGAGTCCCCAATACGCCATTGGGCTACACTATGATGCAACAGGGATGAATAGAGATGTTACTGGCACCTGCTCAAGCAAATCGATGAACAATGGGACAAGTGACAAGTGACAAGTATGTTACGTGGCAGACATATTTACGTGCTCGCGATGAGTAGAGGAGATCATAAAGAAAGGACGAATTCTGCTCAGTTGTGGCACTGTCCTCCCATTGCTCACTGATTTGCTCAAGTGGGCACCAGTAACCTCTCCCATCGTGAGACTTGTTACTGTTTATTTTGGCATATCAAATACGTCATGGGTAGCTTGCCAGGCTTTGCCGTTGGGCGGGATACACTCGGTAGCTTGCCAGGCTCTCCAAGAGGGACGGAGGAATCAAACCCAGGTTGGCCTCATGCAAGGCAAATGCCCTACCCACTGTGCTATTGCTTCAGCCCTCTGCTCAATTATTAAAATATTAAAGAACTCCTGCCCCCGCGCCTGGCTGTCCTCACCGGGGCCCCTTGGAGGGGAGCGGGTTGAGCTTTCCTCCCCGCCCTGACCAGGGCTCCAGCAGCCAAAGACCTCCAGAACCAGCCACCACCATGCTGAGACCACTCTCCACACGCATGAAGGTACTGGCAGAGGAACAAAGGCATGAGGGTCCCAGGGCTGAGATCTCCAAGCCTGCTTGGATCGGGGCTGAGCATCCTCCACCCAGATCTTCCATATTCCAGTAGGCAGGGGTCACACCCACCAACTGGCCCCCTGGCGCCGTGTAATCCCATCAATGGCCAAGACGGCATACGTGGTCGCGCGACATCTTACTATCTCGTTCTTACTTTGGACAAACTGGCAGGCTATCGAATGTAGCCTGCCCACAGGGCAGAGTCTGGCAAACTCCCCGTGGCATACCCAATATGCCAAATACCAGTAACAATGAAGGGTCTCATTCTCCTAAATAGCCTTGAATATAATCTCAGGGCTAGGACAAAGGAGACGTTACTGGGGCCTGCTCGAGGCAATCGACGAACAACAGGATGGTCGTGATCGTGATCGTGATTAAAGAACAGCCAGAGGTACCAAAAACATTGTCTTTTTAAAATTAGTATGAGTAGAGGGCGACGCCAACAGACTCCACTTCCTTGGATACAGATGTAAAATCAGTCTCAGGGCAAAGGCAGTCTGATGGCAGGGATTAAGGTGCTTCCCAGGTATGCAGTCAACCCTAGTTAGATCTCCAACACTGCATATGGTTCCCCAGAGCACAGCCAGGAGTGATTCCTTAGTACTGGTAGGTATGGACCAACCTCCCAACTCCACAATAAAAGTTTTTCTTTTAAAAAAAAAAGAAGAAGAACCTGGGGACAGAGCAATAGTACAGGTGATAGGGCATTTGCCTTGCACATAGCCGAACTTGGATTCAATCCTCCACGTCCCATATGGTCCCGCAAGCATCGCCAGGAGCAATTCCTGAGTGTACAGCCAGGAGGAATCCCTGAGCATCACTCATTGTGATGCAAGTAAAAATAAAATAAAAACACTTAAAAAATGAGCCAAATGGAGAGATAGTACAGCGGTTAAGGTGCTTGCTGTACATGCTGTCCATTCAGTTTGAGGCCCATCACTTCATGGTTTCTGGAACACCAGGAATAAAAACCTACTTTAGCATCAAATCGGTCCCCAAGAGCTGCTGGGTATGGCCCACTGCCCAACTCCAAAGAGAGTATTAAAGAAATTTTCATCGATAAAATATTTGATTTGCTCTAGCGGGCCCAGTAACGTCTCCATTGGAGACTTTGTTGTTACTGTGTCTGGCATATCGAATACCCTCGGTAGCTTGCCGGGCTCTCCGAGAGGGGCGGAGGAATCGAACTCGGGTCGGCCATGTTGGCCGCTTGTAAGGCGAATGCCCTACCCGCTGTGCTATCGCTCTAGGTAACAGAATGTTCCTGGAAAGGAAAAGTGGTCTATCTACACAGAACATGGCACAAAATATCTGCTATAACAGGATTGATGAATAGATCAATGGTATAATGGTCAAATAAGTAAGTTATGTGAGTACTTTAAACTATCTCCTATCAAGACAATATAGATTTGTTTTTGAGAGATAAAGAGCAAATCTATTAGTTCTATAATTAATCATGGTTGAATTTTATCCTGAGCTTAGAGTTTAGCTAATTACTCATTAATTTATGATATAATGAAATATCAATGGAGAATTTTTTCTACACATTTCATTTTTAAGGCAGAATGCAGAGGACTTTAAGATAAGGACCTCTTCGACAGCTTTCCCTTTGTTAATTTACCACTGACTTAATAGCTCCAAGAATCTTTTTATTACCT